AAAAAAACTCTAATAGGAGGCTGGCTACATGCACGCTCAAGAAGGAAAGCGCATAGCACCTACCCGACATTATCATCAAAATATATACACACACAAACAAAGCAATATATATATATATATAGTCTGACATACGGCTGATAATATGCCACTGGAAGAAATTGAGACACAGCCCAACTACACCGCCAAAAATCAATTAGATTAAAGGGAAATTGGCATAGTTTAGAACCAAAGCACGCAACAACTGGTTACCTTGTCGAAGCTAGAAGACCTCTAGACAGAGAAAATAATTAATGCACAACCACTGAGTAAAGGTAACAGTTATGAAGAGAAAGGGATTTAAGCACATCCCCCACCCCACCCCTCCCCATTCTAGCGTCAAATCGCGCATAAGCCATAAAGGATAGCAAATACTGAGAGAAATAACATTCGCACAAACAAAAGCTGAAGAGAGCAAATTCTTACGTCATACTTGGGTCCAAGTGAGGTCTATGAAATCGATAAATAATATCGAAGAAAATTAAGGCAAACCTCGAGCAGATTAAGCGAATATACTGAAATAAGACTTCAGTGGAGAGGGGTGGGGGAGACATTTTAGAGAGACTTATGAACAACCTGAAGTATTGCTGTTGGACATCTATAACTACCAATATCGTAAATGTGAACTCTCAAAGCGCAAAAAAAGTGAAGGAGCATATTCCCCCAACTCTGGTGGAGCAGTGATTGACGTAATCGCCAGAGCAGTCGGATATTAAGAGTTCGGCAGCAATCTGTTGCGAACTAAGTGAATGGAATGGATAGCCTCACGGATAAGAGGAGCATGCCAAAAAAGAGTGTGCAAAATTTGAAGCTATCATTACCAGAGTCACCTCTGATTCGACAGATGTGAACCATGACCGCTAGGACCTCGATTTATGCTGAGCATGATTACCAGTGTTACTCAAATAAAAGTAAAAGTTATTATAAGCACACACACACTTACCCGATAGAAGCACCAGGCCGTATTGAGCTCCCACTTGAGCTAGCACCGGGAAGACCGGCACTTGTGCTGGGACGAGGACCAGTAGCGGAAGAAGGCATACCTGCATAACGCATGTAGTATTGATGCATTAGACCGGGTATGGAAGATACAATGGTAGGGAAGGTAGAGAGCGATTCAAGGCTATAGCCAGGGGCACCAATTTGAGCCGCCATGAGATTAGGAACACTACCTAGAACATTGCTACCACTCTGCACAAAGGGTGGAAGAGCGAAACCCGGGTTCGGTTGGATCTGCACCAGAACTTGTCCAGGAAGACCTAGGGAATATAAAGCAGACAAAATAACTAAAGACTTCGGAAAGAACTTGTTTATAAATTACTCATCAATCTAACAGCAACGCACTTTTCACTTCAATTTATATGAAGCCTTACTTTTATCAACTTTGTGATTCCATGCTGTAACCACCTTTCACTATATTGTTGCTTGTAATTTGTACGACAATACCGATGAAAGAAAAATCATCTAAATCGTAAGTCAAGATGACGAATTAGGCCATTTTCGTCTCAGTTCAGATTGAAAACGCTTTTCTTTTACCCACGAATCGACTCAGACAAAAACGAGCCACTACCCTAGACTTTATTCCCCATTACGTTATGATCTTTACTTCATTTGGGCCTGGTTATTGCCAAATAACCACTCGTCCTTCCCTAATGTTCACCAACAAAAAGAGATCAGACAGGCCCCAAACAAGCCCATCGCATACCAACGAGAGAGCCAGGGGTACTAGCAGAAGCAGCAGAAGGAATGGCAGCGGGTGTCTGGAGCCTAGACGACCCAAATCCCACCCCAATACCAAAACTAGAGTCCGAAGTGGACTGACGAATCGGCGGTGGGGGTAGACCACCACCTCCAGCCCTGAGCTGAGCCCTGTGTTGTTGATGGGGAAAGAGAGCAGTTTGAAGAGCCATAATGATGGGAGTTACACCTCCTGCCCCTCCCTGACTGGCAGCGGCAGTAGCAGTAGTCCACATACCAGTTGTCATAGTTGCTACCGATGCTGCATCCGCCGCCATCTGTTCCATTCCTGCTGCATTGGCGGAAGCCGCATGTGCGTCGCCGGTGTTTGAAGGAGGGAGAGCGTAGCCAAAGCGAAATAGACGAATACGATACATGTGATCAACAATAAGCAGCTGATCCACGGCATGAACAAATCCTGAGTGATCGATACTCGGAGTGTTGGCGTTAGTGCTAGTAGTTGACGGACACCTACTAGCGCTGGGGTCCAAATCCAATGGAGTGGGGATGAGACATCCGAAACTGGAAGGAGGCGGAATAAAAGCGACCATGCATTGTACGCGACAGTAATCGTGACTGAACAATACTCGACCCTCATCTTCGGTATCCTAAAAGCAATGAAGGCAATTAAGAAGCAAAGTGCATTGAACCAGAGAGGAAAATAAGTCCGAAAAGATTGATAAGCTTGTGATTCTTCTGTCATTACGAAGGATAATTTTAAAGTTCTACTGTTTTTTTTTGGAGCTTTCTTCGAAAAGCTTGCTCTCAAAGTGATCGAAGCAAGTAGGGAATGGTAATAAAAGCCTAAACTTGAAAATTAAGTGATACAAATCTGGTGAGTACCGCTAAATCAATATAACTTATAGTGAACCCGTGGCCATAATCTTTCTCCATTCCGTAATAATATGCTTTCTGCTCTATTCTACCCCCTTTTTTTTCAACTTGTGTGATCGAGGGAACGATTCAGGATTGATGTCGCGAAAGAGGAGGCAATGGTAGAAAAGTTGAAAACAGCTCTGTAAAACATCTGAACGATGTTCATCAAAGACCTGATGGAAATTCTCAAATGCAAATAGTAATGGGTAGAAGCGCCAAGAATTAGCTCTCCTGGATAGCCACAAAGAAATATCAGGAAAAAACAAAGAACTTCAAGCGAACTGTGATAAGTTGTCGTTATAACTACGAGAGCTTACGCTTTTCCATGTCCCCAGCGGTACTAATAAAGTGTCCTTATTTGGCCTCACGATATCATATTAAGCTAATGATTTGGAGGGAGCAAAAGATGTGAAATGACGGTTTTGATAAGTAATGCGGCAAGTAACAAGAACTTAATTTTCCCTCCAGTTCGAGTGCCTGTAAAAATCAGTGGCCAAATATGTATATCGAAAAATTTTTCTTGGCTCAAACACAACTTTCCAATCTCAAAATTATCACATGTCAACAAAGGGCTTTGATAGGGGGAGGGGGGGGGGTTGTAACGTAGAAAAACTCAACTTAAATCACCTCTCTTGTTGAGAAAAATTTGAACAGTCAGGCCTGAAAAGGACAACTTCGCATCAGGTCAGGAGATCAACGGGAAGAGGGTGTTGGAAAAAAATTAGTATAAATTAAGGCTTAAATAGGTGCGCTCATGGCAAGGAAAAGTGTGTCGAGATTACATAGCACACAGAAAAATTCAAAATAAATGAAGACATGGAGCAGAGAACTGATCAAGTGAGCAAGACTTGCCTTCCCCCCCCCTCCCCCCCCCAATTCAAATTCCCAGCCCCCTTACTTTTGCATTCCCCATTGGGCTACAATCTAACGCTTCTAAAGTAAGTATACACAACTCAAAATTGTAAACAACAAAAATTAATTTTTTTGCTACCTAAGTTTATTTGTTGCTGCCAGAAATGTGACTTTGAGTATTTCTTACCCTACTTAAATAATTTCCTAATTAATTATTTAATTGTGAATTCTTTAAATCATAGAAACTGGAGTAACATTACTTAAGGATTCATTAGGCTTAGAGGAGGAATACAATATATGGGGAGAAGCAGAAACAGTTGCATATTAAATTGAATTAGAACACAGAGACTGAAAATTGCAATATCGACCATTTAAAACACAAAAGATGCATATAATCAGACAGAGAGTGCATGATTTCTAACCTGACATATGGTGAACTGACATAAGTGAATGCGTCCAGAATGAAGCTATAAAACTACAGGTAAATATGAATTCCAATTGACCTGAATGTATACGGATGAGGTGAGGAAAAGCAAACACGATAATAATAATAATAATAAGATAAACACAAATCGTGCTTACGATAATGTAGAAACAGCCACCCTTGAGGCCACCAAAAGCGAGTTTACGACCGTCTGCAAAGAACGCTGCTGTGATGTAGACATCGTCAGCTTTTTCATGTTTTTGGCAGATTTTGCGTCTGCTAGCGACGTCGAAGACGACAACTGGACCGGGGCGAGAGCCATGGCATACTGCAATTCTAGGAGGAAAGAAGGATAATAGGCGCCAGGCAAGAGTAATGCATACACGCTAAGTGTGCTGCTTGATACGCCAAGCGCGAAAACAACACACACCTACACACTACCACATCGATGATATGTGAATTGCCTCATGTCTTACCTCCTTGGGTATCTCTTAAGCTCATAAAATACTACTAACAGGCACGTTGAGACCTACTCAATCACAGGAAGATGAGTAGCATTCGCCAAATATTCAAAGTTAGGTAAATAAAGTACAAAGTGAACTACTTCAACTCCCAAAACTGAACTAAAACAGGTTAAAATGAGACTAACCCCTAATTCGATTATTGAGACTTACTTCTTCGAATCAGGAGACCAGCAAAGATGGCTTACAGAGGATTCAACTGTGAGAGAACGATTAGGGGAAACGAAATGCCTCGCTTTATCAACCTTGTAAATTTGCAAACTGCTTTCCTTTCCAGCAACAGCTAAGTAATTTCCGTCAGGTGAAAAGACAGAAAAGTACAACTCCGAGTCACGCTGTTCAATCTTTTGAACTGGAAAGACGGGGAAGTCCATTCTAAAACAAGAAGCAGTACTAAATTAGACTGTTGTTTGGAAAGAACGGAAAGGCATAACTATCTCATACATAGAACAGGCATGTGGTTGGAGAATAGAAATATCGTCGATGGGAGAATTCCAAGAAACAGGATCCAAGTGGAAGAGACAACCTCCAAGTTGAGAACGAACTGATTCAGCTACAATGGTCTCCAAACGACTAGGAGGTAGCATAGTTTGAGCAGGCATAAATCGCTGAATGGATTCGACAAGATGTGTTCGACTGTGACCATCTTTGCCATCCCAACCACCTGCTTGACGGTACAAGTCTTCTTTGCTTCGGCACATAAGACATCTAAAGTATGAAAAGTGATATAAAAGGGAGAGATTCGCAGAGACATCTAGATGAATTTTCAGTAATAGCCTACTCTGTTAAATTGTATAAGCGCTTATTGTCGGGTTTAAGAGGTGTAATGTGAGAGCGAAGAAGCTTAAGAGCTGGAACAGGGTCATCTTCTTCAAGTAGTTCAAGGTACTGCTGTTCTAAAAGAAGGAACCGAATGTGCTGAAGAACGGACGCATTCCCAATAGATTCTGCTAGAGCATTAACAGCTACTTCAGTCTAGAAAATTATTTAAACAAAAATTCCTTTTCCTACATCATCCCATCGCCCTTCCAAGATAGCATTTCGAAGGTCAGTGGCCGATTGGTGTTCAAGAACAATACCAGTATCCTCGGCCAGTTCATTATAAGCACGACTAAAATACTTTATTAATTGAAGAAAGTAAAATCTTACCTGTAGCCTTTGTCACATAAATATTGGCCGATTAATCGGACCATTTCGACGTCGCGTTTACCTAAATTCTTGGTACGTACTCCATTGACTTCATCAGCTACCGTACCAGCTCTTACGCTGGATACCATTTCAGCTGCTTGAGAAGGTGGAATAGACATCTTCTCAATTGTTTCTATGGATAGGAGTTTTAAGCGAAACCCAAAATAAGAGGGAGTAACCAAAACCCCGCGATCAAAAGAAATTTGAATCAAGACCTAAAATTACAGCTGACCACCGTTGTTTAAATTTATCGTAAATTCTATTCACATGATTTTATAATTTTATTAGAAGTATATTATCTAAATATTTTAATTTTATTTTATTTATTCCTTGCTATCGATTTTTTAAAACGATTTGTATACGGCATACGAAAACGGGAATCAAATCAAAGAGATTCATATTGCTGCTGTTCTATATCATTACGTTTCGAAAAAATATAAATGAGTATGAGAATTCATAGCCACATAACAAATACAAATGAAGAGTTTTCAAACATTTGGTATAACTTTTATTAATACTTGATAATTTTTCGTCACAGCTTTATTATTATTTTTCATTTCATATGCAAATTTGGAGCACTTCTAGATGCCAAAATATCATTACCCTTTTTAGATTCGCTATATCCCCCTAATCATATTTAAGGTATTTTCATAATCCTCAAACTGAATACTATTTAATGATAATTTTACTTGCAAACGTTAGATACTCACAAGCATGGCCTATCGGTGTTATTTGATTAATAACTGTCATTAATAAGGCAGTAAAGGGCATCATTTTTTATTGAACAATTTTTAGAAGCAAGATTCCTTTTTCAAAATAGTGATGTTGCCACCTTTAGGATTATTCGGTAATGTTTTTAACTAAAAAAAATTAATATTTTCTAGTACTTTGTATAAAGTTATCATTTAAATAAATCATTTGCAGCGGTATAAGATTTACTAATGATTCACATTACATCTAAGTCTAAAAGTTGTAAAAATAGAAGTGAAATTGGAGTTGTTATAAGCTCTTCGGAAAGCCATGAATTTCTCATAATTACGTAATTTTCATGACCCAGGTAATTAGTCTGGGGTCTAGTGAAAGCATTCTCATGGCTAATCTACTCTCTAGGAATACGGAAGTAAGACGATTCTGCATTTATAGGTGTCATCTAAAGAATTTCCAACAGTTTGGGGTTTTAAATTGCCCCTGTCTCATTAGATTAAGTACAGAATTTTTTAAGTTTAGTCAATACGTGGTATTTGCCAATTAGCAGTTTAATCAAATATTCGGCTTTTATGAACTGTGGCCTAGATTAAAGCAAATGTTTGTCTGCGATATTTAGTGCTTTCTGATCTGTCTTTTTAATTAATAATAATCAGCCTTTCCCTTCATTTCGATATTTTATTGAATTTCAATACCTTCAATAATAATCATTTAAAGCGGAATACCTCTTTATTCACGTGGCATTGTCCACATAGCAAAATTCCACGAACCTTATTCAAGTGTCTGACTTCTTCTTTTCGAAATAAATTAAATTAGTGTTTAGATATTGAGCGTAACTTTCAAAGAACGCTTTGATGAAAAATCCACACGTAACACGCAATTGGTTTTTGAAAATGTAACACTTATTAGCAAAACTATCTGTGATACTCTATTAGGTTTTAATTTTTTAGAGAAAAAAATATAATTCACACTATGGTATAAAGTTACCAACTGCGTAATTCATGTGAGTATTGCTAAAAAATTAACTTCCGGAACATTCAGCATTAATGCCATGATTGATTCTGACTGCTATTAATTTCAGTAAAGATGGCTTTATCTCATTTATTGATTGATGTGTGCGCGTATAAGACGGTTGAAATGTAAAGAGCAAGCACAATTTCAATCACTCAGAATTCCCACCCCCCTTTCATTTAGATAGTGAACTCATTTAATGGGGTTTTGCACAAGGACGAAAGGTCGCTTTCACACAGGTTTGGCACGAGAATTAGAAAACGAGGTTAGATCCAGGAAATTTTTCCACAACAATTATATGATTGATCTGATTGATAAAAATCACCAAGATCTTGAAAGCATAAACCAACGTATGTATTTGATATTCTCTTGAATTCTTAAAAGCTTGTTTTTTAAGGAAAAAAATATTTCTAATGAAGGCGTTACTTTGAAATTATTTACCATAAACAAATTTAACCAATGGCGTGAAAACATCAGCACGTCAATTTTACATTAAGCATAAACAAGAAAGTCTAGTGCTCCCAACTTCCAATGCAAACTTAGTAGGAATAATTTAATTGTTAAAGTTATCAATATTCTTTAATGTTGTCCTTTTAACTGCCCAGTGCCTCGAATTTGTAAAGTATGAACTTTCTAGGCTGTAGTAGTATTTGGAGACCTAGGTATGTTGTCATAGATAATCTAACTTCGTTTAGTGCGAGGATGTACTATTATTTAGAATTAGGGAGAAGAAGGCATCAAAGGTGAAAGTGTTTCAAAGCCATTTAGGTAATTTTTAACAAGACTACTTATAAGAAAATAAAATCGGTGAATGTTCGGCTATTGTGGGAATATGACCCCTTTAACCGTTCGGGTTCTCAACTCAGAAAGATTTATTTAGTTAATCTAGATATACCCTTCTATTAATTTTGCCCATTTTGTTATAAGGAAGTTATTTGTGAATTTTCATATCAGCCCATCTAATTACGTTGACTTCCTACAGAGCGACTTTGAAGGTCACTGTTATCAAGGTTGCATTTGGCTGAAATTGGTGCAGAAATAACAAATCTCTCATTTCATAAACTCATCTGATCTAACTCCTTGATTTAATGGCTATAACTCCCCAAAAATAACCATATATACAATTAGAATGAACACCCTCTTATGTGAATTTTGTATCTAACTCATTCTCTCAAAAACTATTTCTCCCTCCCTCCTCGAAAAGGAACTTTGATCAGCATTATTCGCACTGACTGAGTATAGACCGATAAAATAGATTAGTTATGACCAGAAGAATGGCTAGGGAAAAATTAATTACCATGGCAGCAAATTCAACCTCCTAAAGTATAGTGGGTTTGGAATATTTAATATTCAAACATTATATTGTGTTATATATATATATATATAAGCATAAGTGGTTCGATCGATCTAACTTAGTACCATATCTCAAATCAAATGGATTAATGACCTTCTCTTTCAAAATCATCTCAACGATACTGAGAAAATAGGATTACTGAGTGAAAGGTGTTTACTACAAATATGGCCAACAGTAAAATATGATTATTAAGAGTTCACATATAAAACAAATTTGAATGAATACCAATCGCTAATTAGCTGAGAAAATTTCAACATTTCAAATTCTAAGACAGGTGTAATTATTTGTCTTATAGAAAGTTGTAACAATTACAATGGTGTGAAACACGATGCACAATGTAAATTAAGGAAATTTTTTGAAATATTAACCATCATCCATAGCTTTAAAATAATGAATGACCTATTAAAGATTAGTAACTATGAATGATTATTCACATTAGCGAGGTTGTTTATGCTATTATCGTAGATAATTATTCATAGTTACAAAATTATACTTATTATTATGATTAGCTCTTTTTCAACATTTTAAGAAAAAGCACACAGTGAGAAAGGAAGCAAATAGTTCTTTTCTACTCACATTGGTGGAAGCTCTTGTTAACAAAGGCAGAAAAATTTAACACCACCATTTATGAAAAATTTTAAACTTTTTCTAACGACTAATAGAGTTGACAACCCAAAATGACGTTCATATTAAACGATAGCGAGATTGAACTACCTTTTTGTTAATAACTTTGTAACAAATCTGTCCTTTCCCCTTTTCATTACATATAACTTTCTAAAGCCTTAAACAGTTTAAATAATAAATTTGCAATCGAATATAGACTGTGCATATAAAGGTACACATTGTTATTCAATCGAATTTCACAAACTATGTAATCTTCTACTCAACTAATGTTTGTGACATGATTTGCTAATATAAAAAATCAAAGGCATTAAATTAGATAAATTGTATAGATTTTAAAAATCTCTTTGGAATCATCATAAATGTGATATTTATAGCAAAATAAATCTGGCGTTAATACATATCCTGCCAAAATCTCCTTTAACCCTGACACTAAATTGGAACAATCTAGCCTAAAAGTAATGCTGCATTTTAGAAATGTGTTTTCTTTCTTTATGTTTCAAAATTGAAAGATATCACAAAGTTAGCACTACTAAGTTGCATGAATTTAATTTTCGCACCTATTCAGGTGTTTGCGATAATGTTTTACAATTGAGTTCTAATGCTTTTTGTCACAATCATGCCTAAAACAAAATATGAGAAGAACCATTATATTGTTGTTGTCAATTTACGTTTAAGTTTGTGAAATTTATCTAATCAGTTTATTGTTTCTGTTCTAGTAATCTTTTTGCAATGGGTGATTTTGGGCTTCTAAAGCCAATATGTCTGTTTGAACAGTTTTTCGACCACAAGCTTCGTCTAAATGATGCACCTTATGATAAATTTGCTGACTTCACTTGCGCTACGAGTGTAATCAGAACTGCTGTGGGCTCAGCTATGGTTAGCGTCGGTGACACCAAAGTTATTTGTGGTGTTAAGGTGAAAGTCCTGCCTTGTGAGCCCGATGAATCCATCTCGCATTTAATTTGCAATGTTGAATATCTAGGGCTAGCCTATCGAGGTCAGCGCATTAATCAGGGTCCCTCTAAGGAGTTACAGGCTATTTCCGTTCAATTGGAGTGGTTGTTGTCCAACATTGTCATTCCTGATGCAAGTAAGCAGCTTCAAATTTACTCTGAAGGGGACAAAAAGATTCCAACTGCTGTCTATATACTTCATGTTGATGTAGGAATCTTACTTGACAATGGATGTCTCCTTGATACCTGTTTAGCATCTGCAGTTGCTGCTTTGGAAACGGCCGCTTGGCCACGTCTAATTTCTGTTCCTTTACCTCATGACGTAGCTAAATCCGCCCCCACCCCTCTTAAAATCGAGTTCGAAGAGAAAGAGCCCAGTGAAATGATTAAATTAGCCATTTCAGAAAGGCCAGTGGCGCTCTCTTTTGCAGTAGTCCCCCAAAGTCCTCCTGAAACTACCCACGTGTTAATCTCACAACCTTCCAAAATAGAATTCCAGCTCTGGGATACAGATGCGAGTCCCTGTTACATTGTTCTCGATTCTCAAAAGAGAATTGTGGATTTTTCAATAACCGGGGGCGCATTTTGTTCTCCACTCTGGCAGCATATTAAAGTCGATGGTGGCAATAATAGCAAAGAGAATGGAATCATTCAACAGATTTTTGATCGAGCCTCAGAACAGGCGAATGCCATTCGACAGAAAATAATGAATGCGAATAAGGAATGTAAATAGACAGTTTGAAGCTCGCTTAATAAAATGTACTGTTTTGCTAGCTCCGTCTTCTGGTTTATTACTCGGATTTCTCTGCCTAAAAATTGCCTACTTTTGATTTTAGTCATGTCTGTGAAGCTTTATTCAGTCGTTCGAGGCAAAGTGAGTTCTTGTTCTATCAACCTCTCTATTAAATTGTTAATTCCACTTGACGCGGCTTTGTGATGCTATGTTCCACATCAATCTGCCATCTTTATACTCCATTCTAGTCCCTTTTCAATGTTTAATTTTCCATTGGTTAAATGATTAATGAATAATTAACGGGCATGGTTATTTGTGATTTTGAGACTTTTATCAAATTGAATAGGGAATGAAGGTAGTAGGAGTCAGAGCCAGAAACATGGTTGCCCGATCCGGAAGTTTGAGAGATTCACAGATTTTTAAGAAGCAGGCAGACACAAAGGTAGAGAAAAGGGTAAGGTGAGTACTGTGGAAGTGGTGGAATATATAGCATACAGTTGGGTCATGGTAGTTTGAAGTGAGAAGTCAACTGCCGGTCATAAACTTTTTTTGGCCGTATGAGTATACGTTGCCCAGGGTGCACCGCGTGGAGGTAAGTCCTTCGCTCACTTCGACTCGTCTTTAATATTGCTTTCTCATCGAAGGTTAATATGACACCTTTCGTCATGAAACTATCGAACTTCTCGTGGACAGTCCTTCTTACTTTAGTTTTTTTGCTTTTATTAATTTAAAGTTAAAATATCCTTTTTTCTTCCCTAAGATAGTTAGTATAAAAGAATACGGAGCATTCGTGAGTCTTGAGAATACGGACAGACAGGGCCTCCTTCATTGTTCGGCCATTTCCAACCATACCGTGGAAAATGTTTCCGATGTCCTGGAAGTTGGCGAAACCGTATTCGTCAAAATAATCAGTGAAAAGGTAGATTGTTTCCCTTAACTCACCTCCTTTATTGCCAATTGTTTTCATTTACGTTAAGGTAGTATAATTAATAAATCTTTTAGCGTAACATGTTAAGTGGGTTTATTAAACGTATTCAATATGACAATTTAACAATTGGTAGGTTTTATATGCTTCTCTAGAAAATTCGAATAATCAATTCATAGCAATTATTGTTTATTTAATCGTGTTCTACTTACATCTGAGTTGCTGTTTTCGTGAATTTCAGGATGGCAAGTTGGGTCTGAGTATGAAGGTGGTAAATCAGACAACGGGAGAAGATAGGGATCCAAATAATCTCATTATCGCGTATGTTCACATTTTGTATTCCTTGTGCGCTCTTATGTCGTGTAATTTCTTCAGAGAAGTCTTCACCATCAAATGAAGTAGGAATCTATTGATCTACAGAGGATTACCCACAAAAAGTCTTGTAGTGGACTGGTCCATGAATAAGCCTTAACTTATTCCCAGTAATCTCTATTCCAAAGTACCCCTAGTATAGATAGACTCCTAGAATTTGGCAATCTTTCTACGTGGGATGGAAGCAGACTTACAGTGAGTATGACGTTTACTGAATTTATGCTCACAGCCATCTCGATTACCATCTGAGATCACACGTGACCGCACCCTTCAAGAATGCTTGGGTGCACAGTTTGACCGTTTTAGGATTACGTACTGCATCGTCTCTCATGTAGAGTGTTAAGGTATTTTCCCTATTCCATCCTCTGGGGGTTTAATTGTAATTGCTTACTTTATGTCACTACTGATTGTATTAAAAGAGAATCGCAATTTTTGATTTTGAGTATAAGTTGCTGACTATCAATTTATCTCCTGAAAATGTGTATTAAATTATCGCGTGAATAATAATAGACCTGAGGTGTGCGATAGACTTACCTCCGCGTGGTGCACCCTGGGCAACGTATACTCTTACGACAAAAAAGTCTATTAACTGGCAGTTGACTTCTGACTTCTAACTACTATCACCCCACTGTATGTCATATTCGACCCTATCACAGTATTTATCTTACCTTTTCTCTGCCTTTGTGTCTGTCTGTCTCTATTACATCTGTGAAGCACTCTTCTGCTCCNTTACCCCACTGTATGTCATATTCGACTCATCTTACCTTTTCTCTGCCTTTGTGTCTGTCTGTCTCATTCATCTAGCCTTTTCTCTGCCTTTGTGTCTGTCTGTCTGTTATTACATCTGTGGTTCACTCTTCTGCTCCCCCTCTCGACTTTTTTCAATTTGATGTTNCCCCCCCCCCAATCTCGATTTTTTCACTTTTTTGTTCCTTCCCCTCTGTGAAGCGCGAAGTCAAGTAGAGGGCTAATGATAACTATCAAATCGCCTGCCATTTGATATAAATAAACAAATAATTGACCTCAGTGTAGGCCAATTAAGACGCACTTCTCAGGTTATTTGCCAAAGGTCGTAACATCACCAGCATATATCATCTTAATGAAACACTTTTGTGATGTTCAAAAACTAGTTTTAAGTTCATGCTTTTGGAGAATTTGTGTTAGCTAGTGAATGCAATCGAATGAAATGTGCCATTATTATTGCGGAAATACTAGTATGGCTTTAAATTGATATTGCGTTTATACTCATGAAATATTCATTTTGAGCATTTAATATTTATCAAATATATTCTGCCAGTGAATATAAAGTTATCTTTTAACCGAGGATGATCTGTCTTCCTCTTCATTATGTTTTTCTTTTCTCCTTGAAGTGATTGGGAAGACAGAGGTCTCAAATGTGAGCCACTCTTCGTGATAATTATTTACATATTCAGCTTGAAAACAAATATGTTTTCGCATTATACCAGCTCAACTCTTATCCTTTTCTCACCAATGCTATTTGAAAGTAACTGGGGTTAGGCAATTGTTAAATATTTCAAAGCGTTGAAACAGGTCTGCGGAAAGGGAGCTGAGTAGTGGAATTATACATATATTGGAGTCAAGTTACGTGAAGTCTCATTTCTTTCAAGTTCTGATAAAAAAACATGGTTCTTGTTTGCTGTTGCAGTCACGTGATGACTTGTAGCGCCAAATACGCTAGTCCTCTAGGCGGTTGTTTTATTGCTCTGTGCACGTTCATGACTTGCCACGCTACAATTTGATTTACATTAGAAGGATTTGGCCTATAGCCTTTTTAATGAGGAACTGTTGAGACATCCGATTTCCCTGAACTTTGTCACTTTTAATCATTAGGCAAATGGAGAGGAGGAAGCAAGGTCCCATGCGTGCCCAGAGTCCGATTCGTTTGGGAGCTGAGTTGAACACTGTGTGCAAGCAGTGTGGAGTCAAGGGTATATATATATAGTTGCACTATTTAACTTCCTCGTGCAGTTTATTACTATTAACTCAAAATTTGCAGGCCATTTGGCGAGCACATGCTTCGCTCAAACTGGCATGGATCCATTGGGATTGATTTCTTCTGGCTCTGATGTTGATGAGGCGGGCGGAAAGGCAGAGGGTTCATTACCAAAGAAGGAGAAGAAAAGTAAGAAGCTCAAGAGCGAAAAGAAGAAGAAAGAGAAACATTCAAAATATCATCACCGCCATCGTTTTTCTGAAGACAAAGTAAGTTATGATTTGCCTACTATTAGGGTTCATTGAAATGGAAACTTGAAGGAATGGTACAAGCGTTAATCTTTTTTTCTTCTACAGGAACGACATGGTCATGTTAGAAGTCGAAGTCCTCTAAAAGAGTCGGAAAAAGGTGTATGTTAGCGTTTTATTGTACCATTTCGTTATATATACCATAATTTAGCCAATCAGGCAATTTCTTTTCCTTCATTTCAGCGAAAAAAATCAAAAAATCATCATCATCACACCGAAAGGGATTTTGTCGAGTAAATTTCTCGATTTTTTTGTAAATATGTGATTTTTCCATGTATTTATACCATTAAATGCTTCTGTATATTATTTCTTGCCGTGTTTTGGTGCTTCAATATATTTTTACCCATTTACAAAAAAGTTGGACATGATTTTTAAAAGTGTATCGATTTTAGATTTATTGCGCGTGGATGCATCATTTTTCGCTATTGAAGGTTTTCAAATCCAAAAAGATCGTAAATTGCGTTAGACCTGAATATCTGAGAGCCGAACAGATTTGTTATTAACCCATACATATTCCTGCCTAACAAGGGGCTTTAGGGCCAAAAGTATTATATTTAACATTATATATTAGGGCCCTAAAAGCTAAGACTGTTAGAGAAAACTTTTAAACGCAGTTCTAAGAAATAATTAAATTGGGTGCTATTTGGGCATAAGCAATTTATATCTCTCGAGATATTTCAATTTGGACCTTGTACATTTGAATCAACAGAAATACTGACCTCTCAATATTCCGACTCCGGATCTTCTATGAGATATTAGATCAATATTAGGTCTTTTAGAAGTGAACCTGAAAGCGAAGTTATATTTTCGCTAGGTCAAAATAAAATAAAAAAGAGTTGAGTCAAAAGCGAAAAATAAAAGGAAATGATTTGCTAGTTTTTTACGCTTATGTCAATTTGACTTAGTTCATATTGGCCGGATAACTGTGTATAAAGTTGTAAAATATTTATTTATTTCAAATGGCAGGCGATTTGATAGTTATCATTAGCCCTTTAGCTGATTTCGGGCTTCACAGGGGGAAGGAACATCAAAGTAACAGAAAGTCGAGGGGTGGGGAACAGAAGAGTGATTTACAGATGTAAAGAGACAGACATGAAGGCAGAGAAAAGGTAGAATGAGTACTGCGCCAGAAGTCAATCGCCAGTTAATAGACTTTTTTGCCGTATGAGTATACGTTGCCCAGGGTGCACCACGTGGAGGTAAGTCTATCACGCACCCCAGTTGTAAAATATTACTATTGTTAATTTTAAATGAAGATAATGCGGTCTCGGTCGAATTTAAGGATGAAAAAGAAAAATTTTAAATGTTAAATTGATTTTGAATTATCATAAAAAATAACAGCAGTTTGTTTGCGATCCTATTCTATATAACCACTAATCGCTAAAAGATAATTGTAAAGAATGATGAATATGTGTTTTATCTTGAATTCATAAATATTTTATTTTTCAATACTGATTCTTATCCTTTAGTAAAAAAATTATCGTTAGTTTATATAAGCCTATAAATACCGCGATGCTTAGCTCATTTTTTCCAACCTTAGTAGTCACTTTATAGATGGCACTATTAACTGCAGAAGTAATTGAGGCAAAAGTCAGACAAACCGCTACGGTACATTACTTCTTTAGCCTACATGATTGACTTATGTCATTTCCGTAATAACTATGTCTATTGAAACTTTATGAAAAACTATAATTGATTGATTTGAGTAATTTGATAGAGGTTATACATAATTGATACACATTTTACTTTTTAAAAGTTAATTTTCCTTCATGGATTGGGAGATACTGGGTATGCTTTATAATATTCATAAAGATATTCTTCCTAGATCTGGTTGGGCCAATATTCTCCGCTATGTTGTGCCACCTTATTTCAAAGTCATTTGCCCCAATGCGTAACTTGTATTTTCATTCTTGACTTTTACTTACTATTGATAGAAAGGAGATTCCAGTCACTCTAAATTTTGGAATGGTGATGCCGGCTTGGTAATAGTTCTTTATTTCTGTTTTTTATCATTTTTATATTAGATAAAATTTTTTATTACGCTATTTATTTAAACTTTCAGGTATGATCTATTCGGCCTCAGCCCTGATGCAAAGCAAGATGAAAGTGGTATTATTAGAGCTGCCAATGAGTGTGAGTTGATCAATTATTTTGCCAAATCAAACCTCGAATCAGTCGCCTCGCAATTGTCCTCTGCGTAGGCATGAGAAACAATTTAATAGTACTTTATTTGAGAAATTGATAATTTTTGCCATTCATGGGACATACTTTAGAACTTTGTCATTTGATAATTTTGCTGCACGTGTGGTTAATTTCTCAACAAATTTATTTTGATGAAGTTCAAGTTCGTATTCTGCTATTTTTTCCAAATCTGACAATGTAACGCAATTGATTTGGAAAAAAACCTACATTTTGTCATCTCTGTTGTTAATCCATAGGTTGTTTATTCAATCTTAAGTTGCAGCCCAATAATTTAATTAAGTTATCATGAGTTCTTCAAAGTATCTATTTTGCTTTAAAAGAAGTTAAATTAATTGTTAAATTTTGTGCATTTATGCAATTCGTTGGTGCTATGAAGCCTAATGGAATATTTTTGAGGCTTTTGCTATCAATATTATTCAGCCCATCATTTATCCCATGTGTGATTTCATTTTCTCATGGAAATCATCGACATATTAGGTTTGAATCGGAACTGGGGTTGGAGAGGGAGGGGTCAATAATAAGCGATGAGGTTCGAAAAACACGAGTCTTACATTACTTAGGTGTCCAGAATCTCAGCCGAAGGAGTTCAAACTGTAATTGTCAATCCCCGCCAATGGACTTCAAGTTTTGTTTGTGTTTAAGTCTCATTTTCAGAACTTGTCTATTGATCTCATTTCTTTCCGTAGTCAGTCATTCCACATCGATAGTTAACATACCCGAGTTCCCGAACAGGAACAAAGACGGGGTACACATGGAGATGTTTGACGAAATTGTCTCATGGATGATGAGTAGGATAATTAAACGAAGGGTGTCGAGAGATGTGTAAAAGATGTGACAATTTGGTCATTAAGCTCGATGAAATTGAAATAAGAAAGGCGAGTTGGCATTTACGAAAAAGGAATGCATATCGCTGAAAGTTTAGTACTTCTCTTTTTTTCCATTCCCTAGGCGCCATGGAGATGTTGACAACTTCGCCGTGGTCAACCTCTTTATGTGCTCAATGAAAACTAGCGTTTATTAAAGGGCTCTAGCAATGCGCGTTATTTATCTTGTTCCTGTATATGGCTTTGTCTTTTCTACCTTCTCACTTCAGTGGCCAAATTCGTTGAGGCGGAGAAGAATGCAAATATTCCACCGGAGCGTATTGTGGTGGGTGGTTTTTCACAAGGCGGAAGTACTGCGTACTACTACGCGTTGACGAACTCGGAGCCTAGGCTTGGTGGTCTTGTCGCTCTTAGCTCCTGGCTCCCTATGCATTCAAAGTTCCTTAGCGGAACTAGTGTACGTATTGTGCTACATTTGTGTGTTACCTCCTCCTCCTCCTCCACGTAGTATTTTTATATTTATATGCATTGGTGGGGGGGGGGGGGGGGGGGGGGGGGGGGGGTGGTGGTGGTGGTGGAGCGATCTACGTACACATCCTCTAACCCAAAGGTCACGAACTCGACACTCGTTGCGTCGGACCCCTTGTCAAAACCAGTCGAATTTTGGGTGATGGAGTGTTGTTTTTGTTCTCAGTAGGGAACGTTCCCGCCCCCCCCCCAGAGGTCTTGAGAAATTCAAATGTTATTTAACGGAATAATATTGGCTTATAGCATATATTTTCTAATGAAATGGAATGTGATGTGATCACTCAGTTTCAATTATCTGATGACTGCAGTTTCAAAGATTTTCAGTTTCTTTCCTCATTTTATATGGCATTTCAAGTAAATGCTCCGTTGATAAGCCCTTGCTGTCATTTAGATTAGAAGTATCTTAAGATTATGTTTATGGGGTGTGCGATAGACTTACCGCCACGTGGTGCACCCTGCGTAACGTGTACCCATACGGCCAAAAGGTCTAGTAACTGGCAGTTGACTTCTGACTTCAAACTACCATCACCCCACATTATGTCCTATTCGACCCCTTCCACGGTGCTCATCTTACCTTTTCTCTATCTTTGTCTGTCTCTTTTACATCTGTGAATCATTATTCGGTCCCCTCTCTCGACTTTTTGTCACTTTGATATTCCTCCTCTTCTCTGTGAATCGCCTGAAGTCAACTGAAGGGCTAATGATAACTTTCAAAACGCCTGCCAATTGAGAAAAAAGATTATGTGAGAATAGTATTCACTCTGTATAGGTCATTTCAACAGATTTCTTGTATGTGATTTTGGAGCACACACATGCCAATTCTTTGACCATATATAGCAAATGCTGAAGATCAATCTAACAGATAAAGATGTTATTGAATCATTAAATTGGATTATTGAGGAAGTAATTCCCGAGTTCACTGAAAGATGGGGTGATTCAACCCTCATTCTGAATGAAATAACTAAATGTGCTCCGCTAAAAATTGGAAAGTCGAAGCTGATTTCGAGTGTACAATTTTAGCGGATATCGGCTTAAAGCTCTTCTGTGATGGAGATGATTGAGGTGCCGCAACCCATTAATCAAATTCCCCCGTTCTTCACACGACACTTTCTTCTGGTATTTGACGACTTAGAGTTGGGTGAAGATATAAGAGTTCTCATCTAAAAGTACAATATTTGCCCTTTCTATATAAGAATAGAATTTTCATTTGTTTTACTATCTAGTCTATGTATCTATCTACCTATGCACGTTAAGGATTGCAATGACAACACGAAACTTGTTCAATCTTTTTGCTGTTGATTGAGTTGATATAATAGCTTGATAGTACCAACACTCATCTTGAAAAGAACGATTGCATTCTGAAGTCTCCTGTGCTTTGGAACTCGCATTCTATGACCCCTCTCTTGGTCAGTAAAAAAACCTGTGGGATTGGCCATTACCTTTGCTGGATGTTTTTCAATAAATATTCAACTATTTATTAAGTTTAGATGAATTTTTCATCATTTCTAGAATCGCTTTTTTTAATGTGAATTGCAGTCTATTGTGTCTGTTATTTTTATCCACAGACTATATCTGGAAACCGTGCGCTTCCAATCCTCCAATGTCACGGTGTAGAAGATTTCATGGTCCCCTATGAACTTGGTGAATTAAGCAGTTCAATTATGAAGCAATTTGGTTTCAATGATTGTACTTTCAACGCGTATCCGAAGATGGGCCACTATACTTCCGATAAGGTGGGCTCATGATCTCATTCCCACGATTGGTCCTTTTTTGAAAGATCTAATTTCTCAATCTCTCTCTCTCTCTTCCTCTCTCTCGGCATTTAGGAAATGAATGATGTGAAGCACTTCTTGACCTCTCGTTTCCCAGATATTGGTTAGCCCGGAAGAGTAATTCGTACTGGAGGTAAGAACGGGAATCGCCTTTCCATTTTTCGTCTGAACTATACTCAATCAATAAATTTTGAGAACAAAAATTAATAACGTAGTTTGAATTGCCTTTGGCTTCCTTTTATCAGGGTGTAGGCGAGTGGATATTTAGTTTATATATGGATTGGAAACCCTAAAATTGGGGTTTCGAACCATTGCCCCCCCCCCCTAGTCTGTCAAATACTCCGTTGATAAGCCCTTACTGCCATTTAGATTAGAAGTAAATTAAGATGATGCTTATGGGGTGTGCGATAGACTTACCGCCACGTGGTGCACCCTGGGCAACGTGTACCCATACGGCAAAAGAGTCTATTAACTGGCAGTTGACTTCTGACTTCAAACTACCATGACCCTACTGTATGCCATATTCTACCACTTCCACAGTACTCAACTTACATTTTTCTCTACCTTGGTCTGTCTCTTTTACATCTGTGAATTATTATTCTGTCCCCTCTCTCGACTTTTTGTCACTTTGATGTTCCTCCTCTTCTCTGTGAATCGCCTGAAGTCAACTGAAGGGCTAATGATAACTTTTAAAACGCCATAAAACCTTAAAATTGGGGTTTTCGAACCACTGCCCCCTCTAGTCTGTCAACATTTAACCATTAGGGCCACGAATCACGTATTCTCCACGCACAAGTTTCAACCTTTATACTACGGTGGGTTGCCGCTTGTTAGATTTCTACGCTTGAATTTTGGTATAAAAGATCTCCAACAGAACAGCTGCCATTGAGGTTATTGGTTAGCAAAGTAACCAATAATTTTCACGTGTATTTCAATTGATATCAGCGAAGTTATTAGCATGTTTTAACAAAGCATTGTTGAAGGTCTACCACCTTCCTCTTTGGGTTTTATTAAATTGGAGACTCGGCGTTATTTAAGGGTGGGAGGGGGGGGGGCTGATTTGGATGAATAGCGTGGGAAAATGGTAACACCAGCGGATGCAAGTGATTCGAAAGTCAGTCTTCAGGTTCTTATTTAGGGGGTGATCAGTGTCCGATGGAGGAAAATAGGCAAAGTACACCCATTTCCAGATAGACTAACTCCAATTCCACAAATTTGGATACATGAAGTAACTACTAGAACTAAGAGCATCGCAATCTTTTCGGATATTTAGCCTATTTTGTGCACTTTTGCCAATGGTGAATAAGTACACTGGAAGAGTACAAGGAAAAATTGACTATAAGGACTTTTAGTTCCTCTCTCCTAAAGTCCATTCACTCATTATGCTTTATTAATAGAAATGAAGATAGGGTAGAGTTGTTTGCTTGAACATTCTCCAGCCTTTCCTGTCTTGAACTAAGAAGTCCTTGAATTGGAAGTCGGGGAAGTTGTGCTTCACTTTCGGGTAAAATGTGGGGGGGGGGATTCGGTTGGATAGAACTCAATTGGTTTTGGGGAAAAATGAATGTCTAGAGTCGTAATAGTTCAAAAGAAGCTCAGTAGCCACAAGATATCATCTTTTCCCCTTTTTTAACTGAGATAATCTCCCAGTGCTTAAGTTCCTTGGCAAGGAATGGTGACAGGAGGCATCCAGGTTCATTCCAGTGAAAAGAAATGGGGGATGCATTTCATGCTTTCATCTTTGGGGAAGAGAAGGCAAGATCTCCCACTAAGTGAAATCCAGTTTCTTCTTTAGAAGCCTTGCACAATGTTGTGCTTAAAGCAAAAGGTACCAAGACACTGGGGATGTGTCTTCTTCTCAATAAGCTTGACTCACCATCTTGAGGGAAATCGTGCAAAACAGGCAACGATTTCGCTCTATCCATCCTGGCTTAAATAGGAATAGTCGGAGTGGGGGGAAAGTTGGTTCCTTCCTCCCACTCTATTAAAGATCTTTACTGTTTCCTGCTTCACTTTTTCTATCCTCCATCCCCGTATGGACTCCTGGAAACTTTCTTTCTTCGAGGGTTTGGCCAATATGGAATTCTCTAATGAATGATAATTTAGACCGGGCGTTCTGTATCCATTCTCTGACCTCGTTATCATAACCCCCTTTCAATTTACTTCATTTGATGCTTATTTCCTTCCTATTCTCTTTTTTTGTCAAAATCCCCGTACCTCAACTTAACTTTACGTCGTCACATCTGTGGAAAGGCTTCCTTGTCCTTTTAGTCTCTAGACAGTTTCCTATCTTGATGATGATGATGATTGGAGATATAGCCTTGTTGAGTCGTCTTCCTATTGCAGCGCTTGCATTTTAGGACAACTTCCAGTCTCTCCCCCCCCCCCCCCCCCCCGACACTGACAACATTGTTTTGATGCGAAGTACAAAAGTTAATAAGTTTGTTTATTATTTTAGGGCTTGAATCCGAAAAAAGACCTTTTTTAAACACCAAATGATAGGGGGAATATGCTAAATTCGAAAAATTATTTTTTCTTCAATTAGTAAACATTTCTTACCTTCATTCGATTTAAATTGACTAAAAATCGCATTCAGACTCACAAATTTAGAACTCACTCTCGTTCTCGAGCGCATATGGCTGATCGTCACCTTCAGGCTAGTTCTCCAGAAAGTTTAATAAGTGGTATGCTTTCTTGCTTGAGTCATGATTTTGTATATCTATTTGGATTATAGATCAACTCAGTTTCATCCAAAATATAATAGATGGGCTATCCGAAGAGGGGCGAGACGAGATTCGCAAAGTTAAAAAACATTATAAAGATCTTATCAAAGACCAATATCATTTTCGCACAAAAATTATTACCGAGATTCCAAATTTCTGGCAAATCGTCTTGATTAATCATAGCGTCATTCGAAAGATTATCACCAAGGAAGATAAAGAAGTTCTCGCTTTCTTGCACGCTGTTGAGGTAGAAGAGTATGAAGACAAGATTAACTCTGGGTACAAAATTAACTTTGTAAGTTGACATAATCTGCTTAATCCTTTCTTTCCCCCCTCCCCCACCCCTAGTACTTCCTTGAAAACAGATGGTTCACCAACCATTGCCTCACTCGGGAGTACTTGTTTAAAGAGAGTCAAAATTCTATTGTCAACGTACCAACAATGAGATGGAATAAAGGCATGTGTCTGTTTGATAATGGAAAGGACGTAGATGAAGAAGGTTACTCAAATCGATCTGGTTTCTTCTCTTGGCTTCAGTTCGAACGCAAAGCTGTCGGAGACACTATTGGTGTTTATATCAAGGAAGAACTTTGGCCTAACCCCTTTAAATACTACTTTAATTCTGATCCCAACCCAAGTGAACGTGGCGCCTGCAAGGGAATGAGTTCACACAAATAAACAAATAAACATTTTTTAAGGGAATGACTGTTTTTAATTGAACTTTTGCCATCATTAGATAATTATTTTGAAGTAAGTCAAACGCCTCAGAATTGCACTAGTCACTACGCACGTCTGCAATATTAGGGGTTCTGAGTTCGGTTACCATCGATGCACATCGAGTAAGTGAAATTGCCGAGCGCATTGGTTCAGTCAGGATAGCATAAAAGGTTGTTGGAAGGCTCCTGATAATAGAAGAGCTACTTGATATTACTCTCCACTCAAGATGAGAATCGGAGCGCTTTCTTAACTGAGTTTGGAAATTATTAAGGAGACTCAAATAAAAATGCCAAAGTTAGATGCGCCCTTTCTGTACACGCATAATGCCCTTCTAAAAAATCAACAATTCTGATAAATAGATTTAATAAATTTGTGCCACAAAAGATGTCCTTAATTAAACAACAATGAACAACAGTGATTTATTTGAAATTAAAAACTTCATTCAGAAACGTGTGATGTTAACAATAACACATGAAATGTGATAGCAAATAAATTAGTAATTAGAACATATAAGCTTACTGTTCATGCATATCTAGACTTAGAACTAGATAGCTGTAATTAAAACTAGTAAAAAAGCATCTAAAGAGTAATTTACCCTGGAAAATGCAAAGGTCTTCAGTGGTTTGTATTGTGCTTAGTAAAGTGGAAATAATAGCCCACTTGAAATCCTTTAAGCATCACTCATTTTTGATACAAATATTAGTAAATAAATTCGGAAATTTGAAACTCGTTTTGTTGGACCTCACCATACCACAAATAAAATCCCAATCAATCTAGCAATCCACCTGATACTAATTATGTTGATACATTTTCCATTGCCATCGGTTATAAAGTGCATCTACACAGAAAAATCAGGTAAGAAATCTCGATAAAGCCGAGTAAGAATACATTCGATTTCTAACATGAATTTGTCATGTAGTTATCATTTGCATATTTACAATAAATTATAAATGTTTCTTGGAAGCGCTTTCAATTACAATAGTCTATCAGACAAACCACACAGATATGAGATTAAAGCTAAATACTGGTTGAATAAAACCAGTTGAGTATGAAATGAAAGGGAGTTCAGATAGCAACCGTTATTTAGCTTACTTAAAATCTTTCGAAATTAAACTGACGTTAGACCTAGGAGATATTCTTTCCCTCATGGAAAAATAGTGTAACCTCCTACCATAGGCCAAGGTGGCACGAACATTTGGTTCATTCGTTATGAATATGTAAGAAATATAGTTAGAAAACAAATCCGTACTATTTCCAGTTGACTTGAAGGTAATACCGAATATTTTGCATAACACTAATTAGTTAATATATAGATCTCATCGAATTTTAATTTTTTCGGAACTCAACATATGAAAATATCCAAATATTTTCACCTAACTAATTTTATTTACTCACTTAAATTTTATTAAGACATTTCTTAGTAGAAAATTCGAGAATACACCCAAGTCATAACGTTAAAAATTACCCATTATATTCCTACCGCATTCCAATTATAGATCTACTGCAAATAGTGTGAATTAAATTTGAGGCAAGAAAAAAACTCGGAAAATGTCAAGAAATAAGTGTTGGTGAATAAAGTAACAGGAAATTTTTTTAAAAGTATGCCTACGAAGAAGGTTTATATGGGTTAGTATTTAGAAAAAGCCTGGAAGAGATCTAATTTAAGATTTATGTTAGTAAATTTCAATTCAATGATATCGTCGATTTGCTTAAAAGATATTTGAATATTGTGTTAATAATCATGGCACAAAATAAGAAATAATATATTATCAAGTTATGAAGTTTTCTAGCTGTTGAAACCAATTTTAATATGTCATCACCATATATATAATTTGATAACAAGTGTCTTCAATTCCCAGAGTCCACGTCAAAAAAGATTAAATAAAACAATTAAATAAATCACATATACTGAATTTACATATCGTTTACTAACTCTAAGTACATTTATTCTCAAAGTGAATAAAGACTTTTGTTTGAAATTAGAGGAGTTTTGAATACCTTGCGGTTCCGGCTTCAGTTTCAAGTGGATATGGCTTCTCAACCTAAGAAGGCTCGCACTGAAAACGATATTCCTGATAATGCACCTAGTGAGTGTTTTGGATTTTTGGAATTATTTTACTTGTTAATTTGTTTTATCATGAGATATTTTTTTTAAAGACGTTGATCATGCTGTCTTGGAGAGCGTCGACGCTGTCCAAGAAGCGATCGACAGCCTAAACAAAAAGGCCAGTGTTGAAATACTTAAGGTTGAACAAAAGTACAACAAACTCCGCAAACCTCACTATGAACATCGAGCTCGACTTCTTGCCAATATCCCCGCTTTCTGGCAGAGTGTCTTTATCAATCATAGACATATGCGCAGACTAGTTACTGAGGATGATCAAAAAGTTCTTGCTTTCTTACGAGCTGTGGAAGTCCAAGAATTCGAAGATATTACATCTGGATACAAAATTAATTTCGTAAGTTACAATTCGAAATTGATGTTTCGTTTTTAGTTCTTTGATGAAAATGATTGGTTCACCAATGATTGCCTCACACGTGAATACCATGTCGGCGCAAAGGGTGAGCCCATTGTTACCGCCACTAAAATCAACTGGAAGCCGGGCATGTGTTTGTTTGATAATCCAGATAACGGTAAAAAACACAATGTTGATGATGAAGTGCAAGAACGATCCGGTTTCTTTACCTGGTTTGAGTTCGAATGCAATGCGGTCGGTGATGTAATTGGCGATTACATTAAGGACGAACTCTGGCCTAATCCTCTTCAATATTTCTTGAATCCTGAGCCTGATTCTGACGATGAGGTAGATGAAGATCTCTTAGACGAGGAAGATAGCCAGGAAGAAGATGAGGAAGAGGTGGATGACGATGCTGATCAGGAGGGTTATGATGATGGGGAGGGCGAAGACGCCGATGATAAAGAGTAACTCAGTATATTACCGAAGGACGCCGTTTTTTCTTTCCCATCTACTCGCGCTTGATGTGTGACAGACTACAATAATTGTGCATTTCACTGTCTCTAAAACACTAAGTGCATGGGTAGGGTTGTGTAATATTGGTGTTCTTTTATCCCCGTCTACTCCTTTCTATACCACCACTTTTTTCTCATAAACTCTGTGTATCGTGCTTTTGTACAGATTCTCGTTTTTATGAATGCCTAGCTCACTTAATATTGGGTGAAGTATTCCTGGGTCGACATCTAACGTTTTCTCCCACTAAAACGTAACCCCAACGAGGTTTCATGATGCATCCTCTTCTTACGCGGGTTTATGGCGTATGGAATTCGTCGACGAATTATTTGTTGATCAACTGATGTGCCTAGTAGTTATTATTACAGTAGTTGCTCGTAGCACTGTTTTAGAGTGCTTGCTATATTTAGCTTTATCGAATGCTATTTTTTGTCGCTTGTTCCGCTCATGTATTCTTGTGTATCGGTGCAGTTTTGAGCATTTTGAAAGATCACTTTAGCATGACCTTTATAGACAAAAACCTTTTAGAGGTCTGGTGTGGCCGTTAGTTTGGCCTAAGCCTTTTGGGTGTTTGCTAAACGGTCTCATGTGACTACATCGCGCCGGTGTAGTGAATGATAGTGATGAGTGATTGATCAACACACTAAGCGAGATTCGGGTTCCACTTGTGGTATCCTAAGGTAAGCGCTTATTGGTGGTTGCGAGCGAGTGATCTGGTAGTGGCAGATTGACCCGAATGCGAGGCTTAGTCGGTTCTTCGTGTGTTAGGTTGTTTTGAATTTGTGAAACATCGAATGGGGTCCCCGTGTAGTGTACAATTAGTGTCCTATCTAGTGGTTTTATAAACTTGAAGGGATTCCGGGCGGTGGGGCATCATGCTTGTTTTCTCGTCCCCTACTATTGGGACCTCATCATCATACAATGCTCCTCTGGATGGTTCGAGAATTTTCCAAAATACAGAACTAGAAAATGAACAAGTTCCATCAATTTCCGATTTTTTATCGATAAGCCACGCTTAATAAGTAAGCTAAAGACTCAAGAGTTGGGAAAGATAAAAACGCTTATATTTACCAATTCTATGCATGAAAAATGCCAATTGGCGTGGGACTCATGCAAATTTCTGCGCGAGAGTGAGACAGACACGCAAACACAAACACACTCAAGGGATGTATGTGAAGCTGATGACTCTAGTTCGCTTCGAGTGTAAAGGGCTTTGCGCACGAATCCCATTGGCTCATGGCGCTCGCGTATTACAGTTTGAATTGAGAGGCTATTGGTAGATTAACGTGGCGTTGCTATAGCAACATATGAGAGTGTTGATCGAAAAATAGGCGTTGAAGCTTATTCAAGCCTGGCCAATATGTATGCATGTCGCAATAGTTTGGAATGATTGTACATTCTGCCTCTGCGATCTTGTTTGATCGTTATTGTCAATGCTGTCACCATATACGGAATAAGTGAATGTTTCTGTTGTGTGATGTTTACAGAATCGTAGTGCATCTGGGTGACCATGTTACAACAGGACACCTTATGGAACCATACATTATTTTAATAGTATTCCTCGACAATATAGCCAAATTGTAACGAACTAAAACAGAAATTTGGTTGACGGAATTCACTTATAAGATTAAATTAGTCTTTCGTTTCCCTGTAGTTCTGTGATGTGAGTTTCCGGTGTATGATCTAATAGGATCAAGCTTTTGGTCTTTTGGAAGTACAAAATTCCCGGCGAGTGACACATGACCACTTGGTTTAGAACTTGCAGGCCAATGCTCTAAGGGTCCCTTGAGAAGTTTGGAGTCTTCCAAATGAATAAATAAATACGGTGTAGTTAGGATTGGTGCAAGAAACAATCCTAGACCACTTTGCCTATAAGCCCATTGGCTGATTATGTTGGTCAATTGAGTTCCGATTGCTTAGTAAAATATGCCTTGAGTAAATAGAAAAATCTGACACTTTGAAAACTGGATCCAATATTGGCAATTCAAGATGTAGGAAAGTCTAGGTTTTAGATCAAAGGCCCAAATTTTTCAATTTAAGTCTGTTCGTTCACCATGCTCAAATATTTCCCTGTTACATGGATATAATAAATTAATAGCGGGCATAATGATATCATGCGCGTTTGACAAGGTAGGGTTGGATGCGTATGCAAAATAAGGAGAGAGTAACTTATTGATTATGCTGGAGGGAAGGAAGAGCAGTTGAACGGAAAATTGCTACAATAACCTTCACTGACCTTACTCTCACGCTCTCCTTCGATGAATAGAATGTCCATCTTTAGGGATACCGTGTCAACAATGCTCAGTGCACCTCACCGTCATCTCCCCTTCACTTGCATATCGATTAATTGATCTCTATGCTCATATATGACTACACAAGACCACTCTGAAAGTCATCAATAGATTACCCGAAGTCAATCACTCAACTCTTTACCTAAGCAAATTCATTTTCATAATGACAAGCATCACTGCGGTCTGAGTTCAATTGCTTTTTCCTCCTTCTTCTCTGATTCTGAGTAGATGCAGAAATGTGATAACACAGAGACACACAGACGACCAACACATTTCACTTAACGATAATTCTCAAATCACTAAGTCACATCGAGGTAGAGTTCCTGAGCAAACTCCTCAATTGTGAATTCTCCTCATTTCCAGAAACCTCCACTCGAATTTTGAATTTCAGCATCTCTATAAAGAACTACGCATTCAAGGTCGAGTTGATACTAAGTGCAGTTAATACTGTTCGGTCTGCCGACCAGAGGACTTTTGGAAGTGAAATTTGAGTTGTAGCTGGTGAAGTGGACACCAATATTTCGAATGGGACATGGCTTAGCTTCACTCATGATTCCCCCCCACACATAAATTCTTGTAAATTAGGAGAATTAGTTAAAGGAAGAGAAGGAATAATCTGCCTGCGTTTAGAAGGTTGATGCAGCTACCGAATAGATTGATGGAACGGGTCATCCACTTAGTCGATGACGAAATGTCCCCTTTCATAGCGTTCAACTCAAATGTGCTCAGTTGTAACACAAACTTGATTTCTCGAACAGGAATTGAAAGCATTGACTTGGAGGTTATAAAGATATTTCACTTCATTTTGAGGAAGTACCTAACATGCGCAGAGTAGCTGACTACATCAATAAGAGGCTTTCGAGAAGACGAATAAAGCCAGAGTGTTGAATAGATTCTGTGTACTTTTCCAAAATATCTCAAAGTGCAATTGCTTTGTCTACTTACAACTTTCAAATTTCAATTTTTTTAATTTTTTGCCCTCATACTTGCTAATGAAGTAATCTACAAGTTTCCGGGGTGTGCGATAGACTTACCTCCACGTGGTGCACCCTGGGCAACGTATACTCATACGGCAAAAAAGTCTATTAATCGGCAGTTGATTTCTCATTTCAAACAACCATCACCCCCACTGTATGTCATATTCGACCCCTACCACTACTCATCTTACCCTTTCTGAGCCTTTGTGCCTGTTTCTTTTACATATTTGAAACACCCTTCTATTTACCCTCCTGAATTCTTCTCACTTTGATGTTCCTCCTCCCCTCTGTGAAGCCCGAAGTCAACTAAAGGGCTAATGATAACTATCAAAACGCCTGCCATTTGTTATAAATAAATAAATACACAAGTTGCCAAGAGCTGAGTTGTCTGTTGATTCATTTAGTTAATTATTAGTCATATCAATATTACTTTCTGCTAATGAACAATACAGAGTATCGAGACTAGTTAGAATAATTTACCTAAGCCGAATGTTTGTGCTGAATCAACTCAAATTCCCACATTGGCAGATCTAGTTTTATTTCCTCTGCGAGTTTTAAATAACCTATTTGATCAAATGAATGGCTCCACTGAAATTGCAGAATCTCACCGCCCGCATATTGAGAAGAAAACTGACCAGTTGACCGACTATTGATATCAATTCAAAATCACATTGGGAAAATAGTGCGGACTTTCTGATTCACAACAAAATAATAATGCCAGAAAATCTTGTATTCCAGGCAAATGGGACGCTACGAATTAAATCTTAAGCAGTTACCGTGAACACAGTAGCCATGGATTCGATCTTTTGTGTGTTGTTTATTTGAACTTTCTAGGGCGAACGGATTTTTAAATAACGTTTATCTAGGCCATTAGCACAATCACCGCGTTAAAATGCAGGTCAATATTTTGCGTGGAATTTCAAGAAAAATTGTGTACCTTTAATTAGAAGGGCATTATTAATTCAAACATGAAGAAGGTCTGTACTGCTACTTATGAATTAAAGATAAGTTATTTAAAATATCAAATCTTAATAGGTTTTAAAATAGAGCTTTTAACCACTACTTAAAATATCACCTTAATTGAATAGCTTATTAATTTAATAACCTATAGGTAAGTGTTATGTGAGAAAATAGCCACTTTCATGGTATGATCACAAAAATGACACCATTTTTGAGGTAAAAATGAAGAACACTAACTAGTAAAACACTGACAGAAAGGGTGAGCCCGTTTTAATCAGGCTAATCAGGTGGAGGTCAGTGTCCCAATGGTTGATTTATTAGGACTTCTAGTCATCTATTTGCTTATATTCACCACAAATGTAATGCTACTTATTCGATAATAGTAGGAAGTATTACGACAATGGGAACTATGGCGATGCCCAATCTCTCTGGCTAATTTTGGTTAGAACTGACAATATCAGAGTGCTAGTTGTGCATTAGGGACTCCTTACTTCAAAAAATACAAGAATTTTTTGAAAAAATTATGCTATTTTATTGGAAAAGGTAGCTTACTCATGATGAGCAAACGATGGAAACAATTATTGGACACGAGTAGTGGTTTCAATAAGATTTCACTGTACGTCAAGTAACAAGAATGATAACACATAACTTTACGGGTGAAGTTAATCCATATCCACCAATAAAGACTGGCTGTTACTCTAGAAAGCACATGTCACATACGCCATATAATTTCCTTTCACGCTCAGACATATTTATGAGGAGAAATACAAAATAGCATGAGATTTGGCCTCATACGCCTGTTTGTTATGCTCACAAGAAAGTTCTGAAGTGCGTTGGAGTCGATATTTAGGAACTGGTTGACATGAATGATGAAATACCATTCCATCACGCTTTCATGTGCACAAAAAGAACTCACGTAGAGTTCCACTACTTCGCACTAGACAGCTAATTTGCCTCAGTAATATTTACAAAACAGATCTTATAAACACCCTCTCTCCCTCTGAGCATGAATCTTTATTCATCCCGTTCTCGAACTCAGCATTCATTCAGCAACAAGGAAACGGCAACTAGACACGTGAATTCCTTTACCAATAGCAATCGCCAAACCTTCTTCTACAATGAGCTTATAATAAAGCTTATATTTCAGTGATGAGTGGAGTTGAAGTGAAGTTAACTCGGATAAATTTAGAATGGAAGTCCCATCTGCCTGATCATGGCTGAAAGAAGAAGCTGGTGAATTAAAGGAGTATGACGACAATACGTTCAATTAAATCAACTGATCACTATATTTTGCATGTCTCGGATGAAATTGAACCAAAAATCCAGGAATCAACTACGGTAAGGAAATATTTGAAGAGATGGGGTGAGAGATAGACTTGCCTTCACGTGGTGCACAGTGGGCAATTTATACTCATTCGGCAAAAAGTTCATTAACCGGTGGTTGGCTTTTGACCTCAAACTACCATGACCCCACTGTATACCATATTCGACCACTTCCACAGTACTCACTTCATCTTACCTTTTTCTCCACTTTTTCTTTCTTACATACGTGAATCGCTCTTCTGTTCCCCATCCTCACTTTTTGTGACTTTGATATTACTCCCCCCCCCCCTCTGTGAAATCTGAATTTTGCTACAGGGCTAACGATAACCATCACAGAGCCTGCCATTTGTTATAAATAAGTAAATATTTGAAGAAACTACAAAGTGAAGCACATAAGTAAAGAAGGGAATGCAGCAAAATTCTCCCACCTCCTGTTAACTTACTAGCGACTTAACAGCTAAGACCGCAAAAAAATTGCTTTCGTCGTCACTACCTGCCAATATTGACCAGTTAATTTGACTTAAAACGCTTACTTTACCTTCAACTGACAAAACAAAAACTCTTTTTGAAAACAACAAATACCCAGAAAATAAGTCCAATTTGTAAAAATTCTTACTTCATAGGACGTATAAACTGTAGTTCACGTCATCGCATGCCTGCACGCCAGGATTGGGAATTGCGACCGTACAAACAGTGACCAATCATTAACCTCTGTTTGTGCTACCGTACAAACAGTGATCAATCATTAACCTCTGTTTGTTTCCGTAAAAACAGTGACCAATCATTAACCTCTGTTTGTTTAACCTAATCCGCCATCCTGATTCATCTGTTTGTTTAACCTAATCCGCCATCCTGATCATGATTAAGCTTCCTGCGTGTACACACTTGATCCGCAATATACCCACCGAGTAAACGTGCTCCGTGCTACACGTCTGTTTCCTTCTGAGTCAGTCAGGCTTTACTAGCGTAGCAATCCGCTACAGTATAAACTGAGGAAACCCTAATCTCGAAATTCTACCAATATTTACACAACGAACAAATTTAATACTAATTAAAAAAATATATTTAAAATAGTATAAATTATAAAATCAAATATCCAAATTCCGATTTATATTGAGTTAGAATATTCCCTTGCATCAGCATTTGATTTGACATCGGCCTAAATACAAAACAAACGATTTTGTATAAAACAGCGTAAAATAGCATTGGAAATAAAAAATAACTCCATTTTATTAATTAACTAGGAGAATCGACCCGTAATTTGGGTGACCAGCACAGTAACAAAGCAAATAACAAATTTCTCAACTAATCAAAAGTAGATTCTAGTGAATGCACTTTTATTTCCTAATAAAGGAGGTAATCAAAACTCACTTGACGAGTAGGTTCTGGAACGCGATGAATAGAACAACGCAAAGTTATTTCAATGGCAGTTTCCAGTGTGACCATATGGCCTGGCGAGACGAAAACCGGATTTTTCGAGTTCGAATTCATAAGAGCCTAAAATTATTGGAGAAATGAGCGAACATTTGCACTTACCACACCATCCAAAGTTCCTTCCAACCCGTAGAGGTCGATTTTTTGGTCTTTCTGCAGTGAATCCGCTTTCTAAATTAATCAAAAACAAAAAAGTTAACTTTATTTTTCAAGATTGCATTTTTGCACCTCGGGGTTATTTTGCTCACCCTTCGTATCAACTCCCTTTGTCGAGGTCCAGTTGTACTAAGTGGAAATCCATTTGCTGTGCTGTCTATAAAGGGAAGAGATTTTGCCACTCCAAGGGTGGGCTCTCCAAGTTTGACACCCAGGTGGCAGGCTGCACCAAATCGACGTGGGTGGAGCGTTCCATTGCAATCCACCATCCAAATGTCAGGAGTTGGGCCATCCGGGTATTTGGTCTTGAAGGCCTCAATTGCTTCAATATAGGCGGGAACTTCTCGAAAGGCAAGGAAACCAGGGACGTAAAACCCCTTGATTTCAACCTTGAAGGTGTCGACGATTAGGGTTTCACACTAAATATTTTGATGGAAATTACATTAGTTATAGTACCAGGGCTTCTAGAAGGCCTCAAGCATATTTATTTATATCAAATGGCAGGCGTCTTGATGGTTATCATTAGCCCTTTAGTTGACTTCAGGCTTCACAGAGGGGAAGGAACATCAAAGTGAAACAAATCGAGAGGGAGAGGGGGAACAGAAGAGTTTCAAAGATGTAAAAGTGGAAAAAGATGAGGTGAGTACTGTGTAGGTGGTGATATATGACATACAGTGGGTTGATTTTGGTTTGAAGTGAGAAGTCAACTGCCAGTTAATAGACTTTTTGCCGTATGAATATACGTTGCCCAGGGTGCACCATGTGGAGGTAAGTCTATCGCACACCCCGCGCCAAGCATATTAAACGATGGTTTCTACAATGAAATGTCTT